TACCTGAAAATTACAGCCTCCTCTTAAGTGGAAGTACATCAGGCTCTCTTGAAACATTGTGACATTAGATCTTTTTATTTATATCTGGTATCATGATTTGAAAATTACTCAACTACAACCATGTAGTTAAACTCTTGTGAAAAAAATCTACTTATAGTTCTCTCTCTGTTTAGTCATAAATCAAAATACTGCTCATGAGGAATATCAATTTTATTGCCCATCTTCAATACTAGCAAATGTTTCTGATTATGATTATCATTTAAACTATAAGACATAAGTATCTGTGTAAGTAAGCAGAGCATAGAGAGTATTTCAGGTTATATGACTTATGTATAAAATGTAACTTGATAAAGAAAAATTAACTGCTAAAAGCAGCATACTTGTCTTAGGCTCCTATCTTTAAGCCCTGTCAGTTTCTCCAAGATATACTTTAAACTTTAAAATGGCTACTCTCTAAAGATATTTTAATAAGAAAAACTTCTTAGGCATTTAAAAGAGAAACCTGATCACTAAAGCAAAATATAATAAATGTGAACAGATCATATGGCAAAAGAAATTTTTGAAAAGGATTTTATTTAGGGTCTACTGGAGGCACAAACAATGGGAAAAATAAAGAAATGGGAAAAGAGACTAAGAGGCATATCAACTAAATACTATAGATCTTGTTGTTTGGATTCTGATTTGTAAAACCAACTGCAAAAGAGAATTTATGAGATAATAAGGGACATCTGAACACTCATTTGCTGAACATTTAATAATAAATTATTAATTTTTATAGGTGAGAAAGTCATTGGGTTACATAAAAAAAGGGTGGCTCTTATCTTTTAGAGACTCACAAATGAAGTAGGTATGAAAGAAATTACATTATATTTGTTATCTGCATTAAAACAATCTAATGCAGGTCAAACAAATGAAACAAAATAGGCCACTTGTTGATAAATGTTAAATCAACATTTATCAACAATGGGTGATGGAGACATGAAGTCCATTAAATTCTCTATTTTTACATATGTTTAAATTCCATAATAAAAAATTTTCAAAAACATCTATTTTAACTAAGCTAACAGTATATAATGGTTGTCAAAGATTAATTCAAAATTGAAGATAGGGAATCATTAAGATAGGTTTCCATGAGATGGAACGGGGTAAAGAAACTATTAACTATCAATTTGATAACAAAAGATTAGAAAATCCTTAGAACTGTCACATTTCTAAAAGTTGTTAAACTAACAAAAGGTACAGTGGAAAACCCCACAACTCCATTATATTATATTATATATCCCTTACTTAAAAAAAAAAATCTCAGCAAAATAGAGTACTTATCTACATTTTTAAGTTAAAAATAAAATTAGAGGAAAACAGAAATCATCACAAGCTGGTAAGTAATGTCTTTTGAGAAGGCAAAATTAATAGAAAGACTAAGACATATAGTTTTAAATTTACAGAAAAATGTATGACTAACGGAAGGATCTTTCTTTACCAAGGAATTACTTTACAAACATGCTATGACATATTATATAGAAATAGGATTAAAGCAATATCCAGTATTGCTTAAAGCATTTCTTGAACAAATATTTACTTTGCTAATACAGAGACATTTATCTTTACAGTTAGATGAATTTCCTCTAGGTCTAAGGGAGAAATAATTGTAACAACTTTGATAAAAAATATTACTGAAACTAAATTTTTTAACAGACAGTGATGTAAACTTAAATAGAAGAGCACAAAACAAAGTGAACTATATTAAGATGCTAGAAAAAATCATGATGTGACAGAGGATAAAAACTTGGATAACAGGTAGTAGGCTCCATTGGTACTCTAGGAAGTAAAAAACTTCCTGGGCCTCGATTTTCCATCTACAAAAGAAGTTGGATTAGTTTATTTCTCACTTTAGTCCCACTCCTGAGCCTATAGGGTCCATATATCCCCTTTTCTTCCGCAGTAAAAATTCCTTAACAGTCAACAGAATACCTGGTTGACTGGAACAGAGATGACATTTGCAACTAGGCATGACCATTTGATAAAGGTTAAGCCAGTGAAATATAAGTCAAAGTGCTATGTGCTAGTGTCCAGATAAATCTTTTTTTAATGTCGTTTAAAGACACTATACAAACTTTTTAACTCTTTTTCTCTCCATCCCGGACATTCCGCTGCTGGGGATAGCTAGAAATCTAACAGTCACCTTAGAAATAGAGTTTATGGTTAGCAATTATTATTTGGGGGTTTTCCTGTAAGTTGAAATAGAAGTTAAACCGAAATGGTACAAAACCACCTTCTTACCCAATGTTACCCTGAGGTTAAACAGCTATTTAACAATAAATAAGTAAATAAAAATAAAATGCTACAAAGAAAAGAAAGACAGATCATAATTGGTATTCCTACTAACTTCTACGAGTAAGAGAAAAGGGGAGTTTGATGTTTTCCCCACCTAACAGGGATAGTTAGCATGTAGGTAGATTAATTCCACACACTGAAATATGCATGTATATATATTCCTTCATTCCTTCAGTCAGGAAATATGTATTAAGCTACTATGTACCATGCACTGAGGTGCCTGAATAAGAAAGAATAGATTCCTACTTTAATAAAGTTTACGTTCTAGGGGAAAAGTAAAAGGCAGTGGATATTTAATGGGGGAAATACACAAAGATCTTAGCTACTGTTCTGATGACATATCTCACCATCAAAATATAAACCAACTATTGTTAAGTTCTTCCTTTAAAATGAAGAACCAGAATGATTTAACTTTTGTTGCAATCTAAAACAATGGTTTCTATGAACCTTTATTTGTGAAGAGTATGTTTTTTCCATCTTTTAATCCTATAATGGAAAAAAAATTCTTGATATTTCATGTTCCTAACATCTTAAAACAACTTTTACAAAATGAAAATGAACATAGAAATGACTATGACAAAGTAAATTTTGGTGAGAACTTTACTCAAGGAGATTAAAATCAAATTGAACCTTCAGTAACAGAAATAATCCAGTCACATAAAAAAATTTGTTTATCAGTCAACAAAGAAGACTAAAAATGTGGTGTCTAAATAAGACATAGAAAGCCAGATTATGAAAAGGCCTGAGCAATTTCTAAATCAGGCAAGGTTTCAACAGGAACTCATTTGCATTCCCAATCCACTAATAAAAATTAACATTGGGCAGTAAATGGTTGTGGATATGGAGATTAACATAATGATGAAAACCTGCTAAATGATCTAGATATGACAAACACTAATTCAGAGCTAGATTTCAAATCTGAAAGATACAACACAATCAAAGAGAGTAAACAGGAAAAGAGAGCCTAACATCAGAAAAACAAGCCACCTAAGGGCAGAAGAACAAGTCAGGTACCACTGATGTTTCCCCTATGTACTGATGAATATTGACAAAAGGCTTGGAAAACAATGGTTTAAGTAATTTCCTCAATAAATCTCTATGGCTTAGAAGAATTACAACATACCCAACTTTCCAGAAAGAGGTGGTTTAGGCACTTTGAATTAGACATTTCACGTAGTAATTTATGCAATGGAAGGGCATAATTAATGCAATGTAATATAAAGTAACTATAGCTAAACTGTACATATGCAAACCAAGATATAGTCTTGACACAGTGAGCACATAAGCCACCATATGGCATAATTTAGAAGGAGGAAAATATAAAATACAAATATTGCACATTTATAATAAAGTATGATTATGCTAATACAAGTTAAGACAATATAGTTCTTTTAACATGTACACCACATTGAAGGGTGTTAAAGTTGTACATATCTGATTTCCAAAGGACTAAAAATAGTTATTACATATATTGAGGTTTTATTGTTTCAAGAAGCCTTTACACCCATGTGGTGACTAATAACCTTCACAATCTGCTGAGTATTCTGATAAAACTGAATCGATGTTTGAATTGAAAAGAAGTCCACTCTTTCATATAAAAGTATACATGTCATGAAAACAACTGATAACATCTAATGTCACTGTTCAATCTCAACAGAGATAAAGATCAAGGACAGCAATTCTTTCTGAGAACGGACATGAAAGGACAGAGACTAAATCTATTTAACTAATAGACAATAAAGCATAGATGGTATAAGCCCTTAATCTGGAGTCCAAGATCCATTTCAAGGAACCCAAGAACACACCTGAAATTTTCTATAAAGTTTTGAGTGTTGGTTTCTATCAGACTCTCAAATAAGTATGGGATTTAAAGAGGAATGACACCTAGAAGTATGATGGTCTTACTGTTGAACAATTTTACAAGACCTTTAGTTATTCAATAGCAAAAGCCTGAATAATAGTACTTCATTTCCACAGTTACAGCAGTTTCCCAAAATTTAAAAAAAAGGAAAACGAAAAGGTGACACCAAAACCCATTACTCAAGAGGTACAAGTTTTTTAGAAAACTGCGATTTTTCTACCACAGTCAAGACCAGACGAAATCATGAGACAGGTTCAGCATAAAATTCGACAAGAGAATGGCAGTTTTTCTCTGGACATCCCCTTTATAAACCTCGTCCCCATTCCAAGACCTGCTTACAAAAGTTAAGTAGAGTATGTTAGATATTCCCTCTCAGAATCTTCAGGGTGAAATCCAAATTGCCACTCCTCCACAGAGAGGCAAAGAACACTCCCCCAAAAAGAGGCAGGGAACAAGTTTCTTCCAATTCCAAGAAAGTGGGCAAAGGTAAGACCTGTAGAGATGAAAGACTCTCTTCCTCTGTCAAAATGAGAAGGGGATTTGTCACTCCTGTTTGACATAGTTGGGGGAGGTGGGGTGGAGAGGCGGAGCCCCAAATCTTAAGAACTGATACCTATGATGGGCCCCAGATCTTAAGAAATGCAGCCACACCAGGTTGGTGCGGGTATGAGAAAGCGGCTCAGCAGCAGAGGTGGTGGCAAAACCAAGACCTGAACCTCCTGGTGAGAAGCTACGTGGCACTATGCAAACTGTGCTTCGTCTCTCCCACCCCTGCTTCCGCCCCAACCTTTTCCCCTTTGGTTACCAGTTGCTCCAGATGCCGTAGAGTAGTTCAACAAAAGCGAAAGAGAGGTTCAGGCACAGGAAGAAAAACAGGTTCCGGGACGTCTTGTCCGACAGGATAGACCTGGGCATGACACAAGTGGGTAAGATTCGGGAGACTCAAAGGGGTGCCGGGACCCGGGGACTGGGTTCCCCTTTCAAGACCCTCCCAACCCACACGCTTTCCTCACAGCGAACGAGGGTGTTCGTGACGCTCCCGCCTGGACCTCGGGCCATCCATAGGTCTGGGCCTTCTCCCCTCCTGCCGAACACCCCCTTCCCCGCAAACACAGCACCCCGCACCTAAACCAGCCTGAGATCTTGCCGAACAGATTGAACTTGGGTGGTTTGTATTCATCGTCCTTGATGGACAGGGGCAACATCTTCTCTGCCCGGCTAAAGGCCAGGTCTACTCCCCTCTAGAAGTGGCTCCGTGGGTGATGGTAGTGACAGTAGTGACGCCTCAGATGGGAATCCCCAGCGCTTGTCTCCGGCCGCGCGCCACTTGGGGACACAGACAGACACACACTCGAGAACTCGCCGACTTCCGGCCCGGGCCGCGCAACGCGTCCTGGGACGCGAAAGGGGAAGGCGGGGTCGAGGGCGGGGCCTACACGGCAGAGGGCGGGGTCGAGGGCGGGGCTCAGTGGGAGCAGCGTTAGGGGCAGGAGGTGGCAACGGCTGGGAGTTCTAAGACGCTGGTTTACAGTGGAGTCCCGCCCCCTGGACTCAGCAAGGAAATCCTGAAGAGGCGACTCGCAAACTCGGTGGCTGGGAAGTGTAGCACCCTCTCGATACCCACCCAAACTGCCTACTACTGATGTTCCCGGATGCGCTCAGCGCCTACCCTTTCGCCACTCTCCCACTACCAATAAATCCAGGTGCATTAGGTAACAATGTTTAGGAATTCAGACCGCTTTGGGTTTTCCTGCCGCTAGTCCGGAGAAAGCTCAAGTGATGGCTTTGCTGAGTGAACTCTACGGGCACCCAAATGCTAGTAATCCACCCCAACTCTTAATCCAAAACAGTGTTTGGCCCTTCTATACTAACACGCAGGAGGCAGTCAATAAATCTGTTTCGAAAGAATGTTAAATGTATTTAAAAGAAGTCCTTTAAAGCGAGCACCTACGAGGTAGTACTGGAATTAAGGTTTTGTTAAGGCATTGCTTCCCAGACAATACTGTGACACCCCAAAACTCTCGAGTTCCTACTCATCTTCACTTCCAGGTCATGTTGGGACCGCAGCTGCGGCTATGATTCTTGTCGGAACCTCACTGCCCATTTCAGGGAATTGCAGAAGCTGACTCGGTGAGATGGGAGGCCGCACGGACAGCAGGGACGAGGGCCGAGACGGACTGGCCAGGACATCCAGGGTCTGTGGAACACGCGTAAGGGCTTCTTTCCGGGAAATTATTTGGGTGAAGTCAGATGGTCTATCACGTGAGTCATTAAAAGTTGTTACGTTGGGGAAGAAATCGAGGGAAAGGAAGATTGGCTTTTGGAGGTGGGCTAAAAACTACAAAACCGAGCTTCTTGGGAACTGCCTTTTATTCTAACAGGAAGTAGAGCATCATCGAAAGGGAGGGGCGGCCGCCCAGGATCGGTACCCCGCTTCAGGCGCTCACTTTGCGGGAGGCTTTTTTTTTTTCCAGATTATCAGTCCAGTGAATGAGGCAGCGTGGATGCACGCTGCTGAGTTTAGAAAAAAACAAATGAGCAAGCGACACGATCCATCCTTTTTATGATAACCAAACTGCAAGCTAATAAAATCGTCTGGCTGCACTGCAATCTTATGCACTCGAGGTGAGCAAATAGCAAAATGCTGTAGTATGTAAAAAAATTTTGCGGTGAGGATATATGCATATTTTGTTCTCGTTCTTGGAACTTCGTGTCTGTGTCGCGGGATTGTGATTCGGTAGTTTTATTTTTGAAAATACAATTTACTTATTCTACAGTTTATAAAAATGTTCATGTTAATTAAAACTGCTGTGTAAAAACACCTTGATTACTGAAATTAAGTTCTGGAAATAGTGTTATGGAAAATACTGGAAAGCCTGAACTGGATCACTGACGGAAGAACCAAATGGCACTTGGAGGTCTTGGAGTGTTGAGGCTGTATTTCACACCTGCGGGCTCAGAGGGAAGTAATCTCCCAAAAGTCTAAGCCCTGAGCACAAGCAAGGGGAGCAATCTGTATTATTTTGATATGTGGCATTTCAGCATGCGCAGGGCAAAAGAGGAGCCGAGAGGAGGGAGCTGGGAGTGCTTTGCCAACTGGAGGAAAAAAGCGGTTTGCTGACCTTGACGGCTGTGTTGAATATTTTCCTTATCACTTTTCCCTCTGATGCCCCTTTAAACACTTAGTTTTAGGGGGCATCATCTTTTTGGTTTATAATAGGGTTATAATGGCTTGTGTTTATACTTTTAATTGCTTGAGCTAGGACTTTTTTCCTTATGACTTTTTCATTAAAGACCTGAGTACTTTATGAAGAACATAAATAATGTTTTTATGTATTATAGGTTGAAATGAGTCCTTCAGATTTTTATAAGCCTGTGCTTAACAAAAATATTCAGTTGTTTTGAGTCCTAATTTGTTTCTATGCAGCTGAGCATTACACTCAGGCTCGTTTATTTGAGTGTGAGGACAAGTGCTAAAGGTGGAGGGCCACTGAAGGCAGCTCTCTTAGATGATGACCATGCACTTTATAACTTTCGAAACATTATAGAGAGGTACTTTGGAAATTCAGGCTGAGACTTGAGTTCAGCTAGGAGAGACAGGTAAGCACAGCTAAAACAACTTTATGATTATCCAATAGACAATAGAAAGGGCAACTTTCTGAGGAACAGTTTAGTCAGAGGGGGCAGCAGCAGAGAGTTTAATGCCCAGGATGAGAGATTCTTTTCCAGCGAGGGCCAGAATTCACTGCATGCAGGTGTCTATTAGTCAGAGGGTAATCATCAGATGCGGAGGTGGAGAGGATCTGGAGGTCTGGCTGGGCTTTCTACTGATGTATCTTTGTACAGAGTATGGGCTCTTCTCACTCTGGAATGATGGACCCATCAAGTGATGCCTGTAACTTTGACGGCAGTAGGAGTGGTTAGGACAACAATGTGGGGCCCAGTTCACTGAGGTTTGGTGGGGGGGGCTCCCTTTTTTTCAATTTTTGACTCGGACTGAGTCCCCAGCCTGGAAGGAATGTGCTGGGGTCCCTAAGGAGATCAGGGCTCTTTCTATGGTATATTGCTGCAGCTTATTTAGGGTGGCTTTTAAGGCTGGGAGCTGTTACTCTCTTGTTTCGTATCTGGTGTAGGTTCCCTGGGAGGCTTCCTAGACACGGGGGAGGGTGTCTATGCACTAATTCAAAAGGGGAAAAGCCTTGAGTCCCAGGTGTGCAGCGAGCATGCAGGAGAGATCTGGCCACGGAAGGCCAGTTTCTTGGCAAAACTTAGCTAGGGTTCCTTTGAGGGTGCGATTTATTTGCTCCACTTTACCTGAACTTTGTGGCCTGTATGCAGTGTGGAGTTTTCAGGTAATGTTGAGAGATTTAGTTAAAATCTGTACTGCATCTGCTACAAAGACAGGTTAATATTGCTTTTTGAGGAGAGCTTCTAGTGCAGTTTTTCTTAGTTGGGTGAGCTGATGATATTTGCTGACTAGATGCCTTCCGGTTGCAGTTGGGACAAAGATGTGTCTGTCAGGCAGCAACCATCATTTTTTTTTTTAGGGTGGCTCCTTCAGCCATGGCCCAGTCTTTCTCTTTTTCAGTGTACTTGGGTGGAGGGGCCTCCACTAGGGTCGTTAGGGCAATGGTGAGGGAAGGAGCTTTATCTGTTCTTATTGGCTGCTGTTTTAGCTGCCTTATCTGCCAGCTGGTTCCCCTGTGTTATAGGATTGTTTTCTTTTTGGTGTTCTTTGCAATGCAGAATTGCTACTTTTTCTGGGAGCCAGACAGCCTTGAGGAGGTTTAGTATTGTGCCTGCTGAGAGTGAGAGGAATTGGTGTCCCTGTATGTTTAAGAGGGACACAACAGTATGGGGGACCTTGACATTTATTTTTTTTTGTCCCAGAGTATGTTTATCTGCTTTTTTAATGAATAGAACTGGCTGCCAGTGTCCTGAGGCAGGGTGGCCATCCTGCCTCAATTGGGTTTAGTTTTTTTTTCCTGACAGGTATGCAACCGGCCACTGCCCGGGCCTAACAGTTTATGTGATGCTAGAGTCCAGCTCCAGCTGAGGGGTGGGATGCCTGAAGGTGCAGGACAGAGAGTCAGTTGGAGGGAGTCTCTCAACAAAATGCTGATGACAGCTTTATTTATACCATTCTGCACAAGGATATGATTATTTTTTATTCTTTTGATTATAGGCGAGGTTTTTCTTTCTATTTCCTTTTAATCTATATACATGATTAGCCAGGAGTTAGAGAGGTGATTTTTCTCTGTTCCTTGACCTAAACTTTTCTTAGCAACATGTACTCTATTGTGTCTCTGGTTTCTATGCAAGTGGTTTCTAAGTAATGCATGTGACCGTAGAAGCATGCAGCATGTAGCAGTGACTATGGAGTCTATCAGCTCAGGGTGAAATACAGGTCACTTACTGCCATAGTTAGCTAGGATCTTTTCCCACAAAGATGTTCTTGAGGCTTTAATAAATTTATAATCAATCTAAAACCAAAAATTTATATCTTCATTATACACCTCTTCATAGGGCACAGTAGGCAACAAAATAAGTTTCCTTATCTTATCCATATTTTTCTTTCCTCTGGGCAGATACCAAAATTTCCCTGATATATAATGTGCAGATCCCCATGGCTCTATTACTGTAGGGACTAAACAAGTTTTTACATGGTGAACAATGCAAAGACGCAAGATAAAAACAGCAAGCATGATTTAGTGTTGTAAGAAGGCCGATCAGGTGATCGTAGGTGTAAGTAGGTGATCAGGTCTGTGCCTATTGACTAGGTATTAATCCAAGTTAGATAAGGGCAACAAAACATCCACGGGTGTAAACAATTTCTCTCAAAACTGGGGGGGTGAGGTTCTAAGCCTCACCTCTGTTGGCCACCACTTTCTCACCTGATGACCCCCCTGCGACTATGCCTGTCTTAGGTTGTTCCTCCCTTGAGGAATCTTACCTGTCTCTGGCTAACCAGCCATCTTCCAGAACCATACAGGGAGAGGTAAAGCTGGTAAGTGAGAGAGAAGTAATGTTCTTTGAAAAGGTTAGTTTTTCACTTCTTTGCAGATTTATGCTCCATGGCTTCTATGCCCAGCACTTGTCTTGAGGTATCTTTACCACTTGGAAGAATTATGGTACTTGGTAATTTCACATATGAGGCACAAATTCTAGTAAAGGGCTGTAATTAGGAAGGAAGAAGAGAAGCTATGGAAGTAGCAGATGGAAGAAAACATGAGAAGATTGATTAAGTGTCAGATAGGGTTATTCCATTCAGTATTCCCCCATAACTCTATTTCTTGAATTTTCCTATAAAACTCTTCATCACTAGTTTCACTATCATTGCAAATAAGGGGGGCATTCCCACTTAGGTGGAGATGGGGTTGTCATTGTTTGATTAACTAACTGCAGGTTTTGGTATTCTATGCCAAGATTGCCATCTGACCCCTGCGTGTTCCATTCTTCAGGAGCACTGGCCTGAAAAGCTCCTGGGAAGTTTATGTTCTCCTCCTTTCCATGCTGCTTATCAAAGGTTAGCTTAGCCTTTGGCAAAAATGCAAGCAAAAGCAAAGCCAGTAGTATAATGGAGAAAAACAAAAGCAAGGTGGGTAACGGGGAGCCAGCTGCAAAGGCCCCCACTTTGCGGGGGTCTTCCTCCAGCCTGGGCTTTGCTACACAGCTTGAGTAGCATGGCTCCCAGCAATGTGAGAATTTCGGGGGCTTTTTTTCATGTATGAAGAGACTGAAGGGCTTTTTTGTATCTGGCAGGCCTAGGGCTGGTGCAGGTTCTGAAGCAGCCTTTATTTCCAGGAAGGAGGCTCTTGCCTCTTCTGTCTAGACAGGGGGTTCTCAGTGTGCCCCACCCCAGGAGGCTGTAGAGGGGTTTTGCCATTGCTGAGAAACCAGGAATCCAGATTTTGCAGAACCCAGCATCCCCCAGGAACTTCCATATGCCTTTCTTCATCTGGAGCTGGGCTAAGGAGATAATGATGACCTTTTTCTTCGGCCCTAGTGCCTTTTTTCCCTGGGTGAGGAGGAAGCCCATGTACCAGACTTGTGGTGGCAGATTTGTGCCTTTTTCCTGAGTCTGACAGGAGTTGCAGGAGGGCTTTTGTGCCTTTTGCACAATTCTCCTGGGTGTTACTGGCAAGAAGGAGGTCATCTACATACTGCAGAGGGGTGCAACACATGGCTTCCCTCGGGAAGCTGGCAAGGTCTGCAGCCAGTGCCTCTCCAAAGAGAGTGGGTGAGTTCTTGAACTCTTGCGGAAGCCATGTCCATGTTGATTGCATCTGCCACCCCATATCCAGTTCAGTCCATTCAAAGGCAAACGAGCTGGCTTTGGTGGGGGCCAGCTGGAGGCAGAAAAAGGCATCTTTTAAGTCTAGGCAAGTGAACCATTTGGCAGACCCTGGGATCTGGCTGAGGGGGTATACAGATTTGGGACTGTGGGGTGTAAAGAAACAGTCACTCTGTTAATGGCTCACAGGTCTTGAACAGGCCAGTGCTCTCCTCCTGGCTTTTTGATTGGTAGAAGTGGGGTGTTCTAGAGCAACTGACACTCGGTTAGAATGCCTGCCTCTCTGAGTCTGATCAGGTGTTTCTGGATGCCTGCTCTCTCCTCTTGTGAG